TACCATAATACATTTAATGTAATTTGCCAGCTTTAGTAAATAGAAATAGAGAACTGGAGTCACCATCTAATTGTTAGCATCGGTACAGGTAACTACAGTATAACCAAATATACCGTAAAAGTCAATACTCGCTTTATTAATATCTGGATTATGAGAATCAATTTGTTAAATAAGTTACAATTATCTGAGACAATGACCCGGAGTATTAGCCGACACTTAATGTCAGCAGTTTATATGGACACCACAGGTCATGGACACCACTGATAAGACACACACTCTTTCAATAACCGGTAACACTAGGTTTAAGTCATTATCAAAATCAATAGTACGTTAAAAACCTTCAATTTATTTAAATTGATTGCAAATCATATCAAATGACAATCACATGATCCGATAAAACCAAACATTAATCTAAGTCTTAGTCTAAATCTTCTGAAAGGCTGCGATGTCTACCGATTGGACAAAGTCTTCAAAAGCTTCGATCTGTTCCGTCAAGTCATCGATACTCACTGTAAGCCATAAATCAATTACAATTAGATGTATAATCGATGGCATCAATGGTGAGTACAATGAGTGAACAAACCTTTCTCGTCCTCAACCACGCATACGATCTGCAGTTTAAAGATACCATACGCGAGGGGAACCAATTTGGCTGAACATTACCACAACATAATAGGTTAATGAGATCATTGTCACCAAAAACCAAACACAGTATGACTTACAGACGCCCCAAACGAGACCATCCATAGCGATAGTGCGGACCTTCGCCTCCATGGCCTTCATATCCGTCTCGTCATCCCATGGTTTGACATCGAGGATGACATTGGATTTGGCGATCACTGCGGCCTCTGATCCACACCAACGACAATAACAATCAGACATTAATTCACTGCAAACCGCAGATGACTATCAAATGAAATGCAAAAACACAATACTTTTGGACTTCTTTTCATGGTATGCCTGAACCCTCTCGGCCTTCGCCTTCTCCGCCTCCTCGTCCACCTGTTGTACGGACACAACCATTACATCCACTCATTGGACACCACAT